ACACACACACACACACACACACACACACACACACACACACACACACACACATTCCTCAGCACTGACCTAACTGTGAGATGTCTGCTTTATCATTTAATAATGATTAATCTGTTATATAGAACAAGAGAAACAAGAGCAGTAAAAGAAAGCATAGATAGTAAACAAGTAACTTCTGTAACACAGATGAAATCTATGCTATAGTAGCAGTTAAGATGTTGTTCATAACCTATAAGTCATAAATAGAAAACACATTTACAAAGTAGGTGAGTTATGTGACTAATCACAATACAGAAAAAGCTGTAGGGGCTGAAGAGGTGGCTCAGAGGCTAAGAGCACTTACAGGGGACCCAGGTTCCATTCCTAGCAACAACCATATAGTAGTTTAAAATCACCTATAACTCTAATTCAAGAAGATCTGACACCCTCTTCTGGTCTTCATGGGCACTATGTAGTGCACATACCATACATTCAGACACTCACAAATATGCATAAAATAAAAATAATAAGTCCTTTTTTAAAAAGATATAAACATTAAGTAAGCCCTAGGAATCACAAAGCATAGAGGTCACCCAGGTAGATAGGTATGCTACCCTGAACAAATCACCCATTGGATAACCCTGTTCTTGCATCATCTGCCAGAGGTATAAGATAAGTAGTATTGCAGTTTAGCAACATTACCCTCATAGCTATGTCAAGGCAGAGTCATCTCTCTCTCCTAAACAATAATCACCATTCAGTCAGGACACCTGCCAGCTAAGACTCTTGGCCTCACCCTCAGCTCTTGTCACTGTCAACAATGAAAGCTGATTCAGGCAGCAAACATGAAATCAGGCTAACATAGCAGACAGGACAGGACCAAGGTGATGCAGCACCTGAACATCTTTATACAGCCAGCTTTTCTCTTTGTTTCTCACTATACAACTATAATCATTCATTCTGACTTGGGTACCCAGCCCAGAACTGTACCGAGTGACTGCTCCTCCTATTGCAACAATAATTCATACTTCCAGATGATTCACAAAATACTTTAGTGCTTTCAAATCAATTAAAACAACTGACATTTAATCTCTTAAAGTATCATTATTTTAGTTATTCAACCATGGTCACCTCAGTATTGAATCTGAGAAGGTCATTTAACACCTCCCCAAAACACCAAGGTAAAATGAAGAAACTGACTTAGATCAATGTAGAAAGAGCAAGGGAAAATACAAGTGTCTGAAAGCAGCACTTTAAAATGTATGCTTTGAAAACTAGGAAATGGAACAATCTACAAATAATTGTTCTTTGATCACTTTTATGGCTAAATTTTTGGAAATAAAACCTTTAGCTTAAACAGTAATTGTAACATCATCAGGGCTTGGAATACAGGTATTCATTAATTTACAACTCTATAATGTAAACTATTACTATCATCTTCATTTTGCATGATACACACAGAATAGTAAAAACAACTTACACCATTAGGGGAACCAGGAGTCTAACCAAGGCAGTCTGGCACCAGAGCCCTGACTCTTAAACTACTGACCTACAAAGTATATCTATACTTCTACTTTCATTGTCAATTAACTGTGGACTGAGATGTTATGTAATTTGCTCAGGGTCATCTCACCACATGAACACGAATTTAACTCAGCTTGTAATTCTATTACCAAAGTTCCTGACTACAATTACGTATAATCTATCCATCCATGACACTTCTTACTATGTGATTCTCTGATGCTCACCTTGCTGACCATCAAGTAACCAATTCTCTCTGACAAATACACACAATGGAATCAAAGGCAAATTGGGATCAACTAAAATGATGTCATTGAACTGTAATTAACAAAATAATGCAAAGTGGCACATCCATGTTTAACGTTGCTATATTCACAACAGCATGATGTTTGCTATGAAAGTAGGGAGGGAGGGAGGGAGGGTGGGAAGAAGGGAGGGAGGGAGGGAAGCAGGGAGGCAGGGAGGGAAGCAGGGAGGCAGGGAGGGAGGGAGGAGAGAAATAAACCAGGTGTGGTGGTACACTCCTGTAAACCCAGCACTAAGGAGACAGAGTCAGGTGGCTCTCTAGGCCAGCCTAGTCTACACAGCATGTTTCAGGACAGCCAGGGTTATGATAGCAATAACTGTCTCAAAAGAAGGAAATAAAACATACTACTAGATATTAAAGAAATCAGTAAGATTCAACTAGAACACAAGCATGTAAGTATGGGCACACAGTTTCAGGAACAAACACACCATTTATCAGGTACTTAATGTACATGAAATTTACACTGGATACTAAGCAAACAAAAGAAAATAAAACACAGCCAATTTTCAAGTAACTGTATATAGTTTGGCATGTTTATAAACATAAGATCACATCATTCATGGCTTCTTTAAAGCATTAAGAATAAATAAATCATACTTACTGCTAAAATGTTTGCTTCTACAGGCAGCAGGTTCAGGAAAGCAAAAATCTGCACAGTCAAGATGGTGTAGACTTGTGTGGCGGAGAGCATGAGCATCCCTATAGAGAGCAGCATCTCGGAAATCACCTAGGAGATAAGGAAAGAATAAATAGAAAAACAGGTGCTTTCTCCCCAGAATAAATCATTTCCCACATTAATTCCTAAGATCCAAAAATATCCATTTAATTACAAATGTGCTAATATTAAAACTAAGATATATTTTGAAGCCAGGCATGGTAATGTGATGTGGAATGTCCTTCTATATGCTGCAAATGTGTTGCTTTTATTGGTTGTTAAATAAAGCTGTTTTGGCCTATGACAGGGCAGAATATAGATAGGTGGGAAATCCAAACAGAGATAGAGAAAGAAAGAAGGCAGAGTGGAAGAGATGCCATGTAGCCGCCATTGACGTAAGATGCCAGACAGAATATTACCGGTAAACCACAGTCATGTGGTGACACACAGATTATTAGAAATGGGTTGATTTAAGAAGAGCTAGCCAATAACAAGCCTGAGCCATCAGCCAAACAATTATATTCAATATTAGCCTCTGAGTGATTATTTTACAAGCAGCTGAGGAACTGGGCAAGACACATAAAAGCTTCCAACTATAGTAGCGCACACCTTTAATCCCAGCACTAAGGGGGGAGAGGCAAACTGATCCCTGTGACTTCAAGGCCAGCTAGATGTACATAGTGAGTTCCAGAACAGCAAAGGTTACAGAGAGAGAGAGAGACAGAGAGAGACAGAGAGAGAGCTTGTCTCAAAAAAAAAAAAAAACACAAAACAAAAATCAAATACAGTATTTCAAAAATCACAAGAATTTCCAGGGACTGTGTTCCACATTTTAAGCACAAAACAAATGTTTCCCCCACCAAGCTTGGTTATAACACAACTTATTTACCAACCCAGTTTTTGGAGAAACAAGATTTCAATCAAAATATGGAAAAAAGAAAACAGACAACTTTGCTTTAAAATTTAAAGTTTTTCTACATTTCTAGAAATTGCATCTTTTGTTCAGTATAAAAATTCATATAGATTTGTTAAATACAAATTTGTGTAATTTGAGACAGGCTTCACTGTATGCCCTGGCTGGCCTAAAATTACTTATGCAGACCAGGGGATCAGGCTGGCTTTGAACTCACAGGAACCACCTACATCTCAAGATGTATGCCACCATGACCACATATGTACTTTTCTCTTTTCCTTCCTTATTTCTTTCTTTCTTTTTGAGACAAGGTCTCACAATAACAACAGCTGACTTACAGCTTAATATGTAGTTCAGGATGGACTTGAATACATGGTGATCCACATACCTCTGCCTCCCAAATGCTAGGATTAAATGTGGAAGATACTTTTGTGTGTTGCATTGACATTAAAGGAAAAAAACAAAACTGGTTGACCCTCTCTGATCTAGAAATCAAAAAGTTCCAGATTTTGTAGCATTTCACATTTGTGATTTTTGGATTAGGAACATTTAACTGATATAATTTGCAGAAGTACTGAAACACTTGTCATACCAAGGACTTTTTGTAAGATGCATCCAATGTTTTGCCTTGATCTTCTGATAACCTATAATATTATTTTCCCATATATATCCAAAAATGATTTCTTCTCTTCCTTACACTCTTGGAACCAGGCCACAATGATGTCATGGCTCACTTCCAGACCTTCTTATATCTTTCCCTTCATAAACTTCATCTCCTTTGGTGTCTGCTTCTCCCAAATCATTCAGTTCTATAAATTAATCTCCAGTCTATGTTATAGCAAATCAAAATCCCAGTATAGGGCTGAATAGTCAACAATGGATAAAATCTTTATTGGCAAGTCTCAAAATTATAGTATACTTTTTATGAAAAAAATGAGAACAAGATTAACGACGACAGTAGACTTTATAATGAACTGTTTCATTTAATACCACCAAGTTACAGAGAATCAACATTGAGTGTTCTTGGTGGGGAATGACACAGAATCTGACTCACACACTGAAAGTAAAATACCTGTACATAGTTTTTGAAACACCATTCTACAAAGCCATCAATATTGGCAATGAAAGTGTGTTAGAGTTGATTGGTGGTTGACAGAAGCTATGACAAGAAGCTGTGACAAGACAAGGGGGACAGGTGGGAACAGAGAGTGACTTCTCACAGAGATAGGAAGAGAATATTAGATGATGTTCTAAACTAGATTTTGGTGTTAGTTGCACAATTTTCTAAATATATTAAAATCACTGCACTGTATATTTGAAGTAAGTTTTATATTGTGACTTGGGATATAAATGTAAATGTATAACTTTGTTGAACTTACTTTTTAAGGAAAAGTATCTTTACTGGTGTGTTATTCAGACACTAGGCAGCACACACGTTCCTACAGGTCTCTATGGTGTGCAATGGTGGGGGGGGGGCGCAAGGGTGTGGTCAGTGACAGTATAGCCAGCCTATGAGCTGCATCTTCAGACATTTGCAAAATAGATGTCAGACTCAAATGCGACTGTGTGAGCAAGTCAGTGTGCCAAGAGACCAAGAGACTGACAGACTAACAGACTGTTGGCCTTGATGAGCACATGACCCTCACATTAGATAATACAGCAGAGATTCATAAAACAGAGTCAAGAAAACAATCTGAATGGAGATAGTACTTCTGAAACATTTATTCACCTTCACTTTAGTTTGATGACCCTTACATTACTATCGAGTGACAATAAATGCTGTGAGGTTTTTTTTTTTAAAAGAATTTGGAGGAAAACTATAAATATGATGCAAATATTAATTTTTATATGTATAACTATATGCAGTTTCTATGAAGAAGGTTCATTGCTCTGGCTAGTTTTATCAACTTGACACAAGCTAAAGTCATCTGAGAGGAGGAAACCTCAGCTGAGACAATGTCCCTCTAAGAGCATAAGATCAGACTACAGGCAAGCCTGTAAGGCATATTTTAAATTAGTGACTGATGGGGGATGGCCCATAATATTGTGGGTGATGCCATCCCTGGCTGGTAGTCCTGGGTTCTATAAGAAAGCAAGTCGAGCAAACCATGAGGAGCAAGACAGTAAGCAGAACCCCTCTGCATCAGTTCCTGCCTCCAGATTCCTGCCCTGTTTTGAGTTCCTGCCCTGACTTCCTCCAAGGATGAATAGTGCTGTGGAAGTGTAAGCTAAATAAACCCTTTCCTCCTGAAGTTGTTTTCGGTCATGGTACCTCATTCCAACATCAGTAACACCAACTAAGACTTTCATGATTAATACATTTTTCAAGAAAGCACAAAAGTTTTTATATTTTAGTTTAAATTAACTTTGCTTCACCAGGAAGCCTTGTAAAGGAAAAAGTCTTAAATTCTTTAATGGCTCCTCCTAGCACTTAACCTACTGTGTGAAGAGAAATGCACACTGCCAATTATGTTATTAAGCAACATTCAGATATATATGACTCTTTACTGGAGAAAAGCATTTAAATGGAAATGAAAATGAAATGACTCTAAGTTTGCTGTAAATCCTTTCCCAAGCAAAAATAAGGTCACAAACCTGCAGCCCCAGCTACTTAGAAAGCTGGTATGACTGGATTTCTTCAGCTAGGGATTGGAGATCAGCCTGAACAACAACATAGAGAGGCCCTCACCACTCAACACCCACCCTTAACCCACAGTCCCAACCCCAGTCTTGAAGGAAAGAAGAAAAATAATAATGACATAAAAAAAAAAGTTTGCTTGCCTGTGCCATATATTTCTTTAAACTGAGCATGATCTTCAAGGGAATCTGGAGGCTACTCACCAGCTGCTCCTTTCAGCTGGCTAATGGGAGACTTCTCCAGAGTCATATATTTTACATTGGTATACTGTGCTTCCAGTTTGTCTATTTCTACAGAATGAGTATAATGCCACCCACACAATGTCTGTGTGGCAGCACACATCTGAAACTCCAACAGTGAGGGAGGTAGACACAGGCAGAAGATCCCAGTGCTCATTTGTCTAGCTAATCAATGAGCACCATGGTCAGCATGAGACCCTGTCTCAAAAAAGTAAATAAATAAATAAGGCAGAGAACAATAGAGGAAAACAGAGATATCAACTGTCAGACTTCACACGTAAACTCACAACACACCCATACACAGAACACATGCATGCAAACAAAGAAAAATCTAACAATTCAAACTCAAGAACACAGTACGTGTCATATGCCATAAAGTTGGTTCGACATATGTCAGTCAGTAAGTATAATTCAGCTCATAAGCAGACACAAGGGCAAAAAGCACACGACCATATCAATTGCTACAGATGAGCTTTCCACAACGTCCAGCATTACTTCATGACAAAAGCCCTGGAGAAATGAGGAACAGGAAGAAACAACTCAACATAGTAAGTTATGTATGACATACCCATAGCCTGTGGCATTCTAAATGGGGAAAACAGAGTGTTTCCTCTGAAATCTAGAATGACAAAGGTGCCCACTTTCCTGCATTTATTCACTGTATAACTGGAAGTCTTGGCTAGAGCAATACAACAAGATAAAGAAAAAGGATATAGACAAAATGAAAAAGTAAAACTATGCCTACTTGTAGACAACATGATCCTATACTTACAAGACTCCACCACAAAGAAAATGTTTAGACCTATGAACATTTTCAGCAAAGTTAACAAGATACAAAAAAAATCAGTAGTTTTTCTATGTACCAACAGCAAACTTGACAACAAAATAAGGGGAAAATTCCATTCCCAATAGAAAAAAGAGGTTAAAAGGTCAAGATCACACACAAAAAAAAATTGATATCCAATCATTGGAACAGAACAGAGGCCCTAAAACTAAGTCCACACAGCTACAGCAGTAAAAAACATATTTCAGAGAAATGACCACATATAGAAAATCTCTCTCTCCGAGGAAACCCAATCACAAAAAGACAAACATAATATGTACTCACTCATATGTAGGTTTTAGACATAGAGTAAAGGATTACCAGCCTACAATCCACACTGCCAGAGAAGCTAGTAAACAAGGAGGACCCTAAGAGAGACATACTTGGTCCCCTGGAGAAGGGGAAAGGGACAATATCCCCTGAGCAAATTGAGGGCACAGGAAGAGGGGGGAGGGAGCTACGAGAATGAGAAGGGAAGAAGAGGAGGGATGCAGAGGTCATGAGGGAGCAGAAAGGTTGAGTCAGGGGAAGAATAGAAGAAAGGATATGTGATAGGTAGGGTTTTAGTTGGGGGGTGGTAGGGGAGGACAGGAGGGAGAAGGGAACTGGGATTGTCATGTAAAACAATCTTGTTTCTAATTCAAATAAAAAAATCTGAAAAAAATCTCTCTCTCTCTCTCTGTCTCTCTCTGTCTCTCTCTCTGTCTCTCTCTTTCTCTCTCTGAAAAGTCAATTCAATGTGGATCAAACACCAATGTAGACCTGAAACTGCTAGAGGAAAATATTGATATATACTTCAAGATGTAAATGTAAACATAGGCAAGGACTTCTGCACAGGATACTAATAGCGAAGAAAACAATCACTAGACTCAAGAAACCCCCTACAGAATGGGGAAAAAAGATCTCTGCCAACTATACATCAGAAAGAGGTTAATACATAAGATTTAAAAAAAAAAAAAAAAAACAGAAAAAGTAAACATCAATAAAATCAAATAAGTCAACCAGTACCTGAACCAATGAACTAAATGGACAGTTCTCAAAAGAAGAATTACAAATGGCTGTAAGTATCAAGTGTGTTCAACATTCTCAGTCACTGAAGACATGCTAATTAAAACTTAAGGGTCCTTTCTCATCAAACTCAGAATGATAACATCAAGGAAACAAATAAGTGCTGGCAAGAAGGCAGGACATAAAGAGCCCCTACCAATTGCTGACAGGAATGTACATTTGTATAACCAATCTGCCCAATCAGAATGGATTTTCCTCAAAAAACTGAAAATAGAGCCACTAAGATGGATGACCCAGTGAAAGCGCCTGCTGGCAAGGCTGACACCCTGTATTCAATCGCCAAGACACACATGGTAGAAGGAGAGAACCAACTCCTTTGATCCCCACGTGTGTGATAACAAGTTTACAAGCACCCATGCATGAGCACACTTGAACATAAACACAAATACAATTATCAAAAAATGAAAATTGAATAACCATATGACCCAGTTAAACCATTACTGGATGTACATCTGAATGATTCTAAGTCTACATCAGCAAAATGCTTGTGCATTCATGTTCATGTCTGCACTGTTCACAACCAGCAAATAGAAACAGATGGATTAAGAAAACATAGTACGTGTGCAAAATGGAACTTTATGCGGAGATAAGGAAAGATGAAATACTGGCATATTCAAGAAAATTAACGCACTGGAAATCATTAAATGAATTAAGTCAGTCTCAGAACATGTTTTCTCTCTTATGCAGAAACTTAAAATTACCTGTGTGTGCACATGTGTGAGCATGTGTGCACAAGTGAATGCATGCACACATGTAAATCACAAAACTTGAAAGGGGAGGATAAGGTCAATGGGAAACAGAGAGGGTAATGAAATTCGGGGAACAGGAAGAAGAAAGGAACTACTAATAGGGGAAGGGAATCAGCTAGAGGGGGCAGGGGGAAGACGGTTGGGGAGAAAAATGAATGGAAACAATGTACAGTGATACAAATGCATGATGATAGCGGCATTTTTATTCTAATCTTAAAAGTTAGTTTAGAAAGAATACTTTTCCGGGTCACAGAGATGACCCAGGAGATAGAGACACTTGCTGCCAAGCCTGGCAATGTGAGTTCCATGCACAGGACCCACAATGATGGAAGGAGAAAACTGATTCTTGTAAGTTGGCCTCTGACCTACATACACATCCTAGAGCACGCACACACCAACACATACATACACACACATACAATAAATAAAGATAAAATGTAAATTTGGGTTTTTAAAAGTGCTTTTTCTCCTTCCCTGCCTTCTTCCCAACAATTTTCCTAAACAGTTCATATTCACTGAGTGCACTACATCACAGGTTATACTGATTCAATGGAGGGAGTTCAAAAGAGAATTCGCAAGAAAATCTGCTTAGCAGTTTTCTCAAGATGTGACCATCACCACATTCTTTTCTTTATTAAAGACTTGTTTTTATTTTATGTATGTGGGTATTTTGCCTAAATGGCTGTCTGAGCACCACCTGTGTGCCTGGTGGCAATGGAACCCCTAAACCGGGAGGGAGTTACAGATGGTTGTGAGTCACGACGTAGGTGCTGGAAGATCATGCAGTGCTCTTAACCACTGAGCCAACTCTCGAGCCTCCAGCACCATTTGTAATCACAATCTAATCTTCACCCTAATTCTTCCAAAGAATTCTAGTAAATATTAATTGACATTTTATATGAAGTCAGCTTCTTGGTATAATACAAAGTTTTCCAATTTTCATTCTATTTCCTATCCAGTTTATACTGAATATTGCCTGAGAAAAAAAGCTTACAAAAATGTCTTAACTTGATTATAATCTGCAATGATTTTCCACTCCCTAACTTCAAACTTACAGGAATTAGATAAAATACAAAAAAAAAGTTATAAGACATGACAAGGTGAGTGTCTAGCTTAAAGGTCAGAATTTCTTCAAAATGTAATTGAAAGCAAAACAAAGGCAATACAAGGTGGCAGAATAAGGAAACAGCAAGAGGTTGTTAAAAAATAAAGAGATCACCCAGGCATAATGGTTTATGACTGTAATCCCAGCATCAGGGAAGCAGAGGCAGGAGGATTGCTGAAAATTCAAGACCAGCCAGGGCTTTATATATTAAGACCCTGCCCCAAAGACATTTTCTTTTTAATTTTAAATGAAGATAACAAAATATTTTAAAATGAGAAACACTAAGTACAACACAGTCTCATCAAACCAACAATAAAAAGACAACAAGGATCAGTGTAGCTATGATGGTTAGCTTTAACTGTCTACTTGACAAAACCTAAAATGACCTGAGAAGAACCTCAGTCACAGAATGTCCATAGACAGGCTTGTAGGTGACAGAGAGGTATTCTGGAAATCCATCATTCTCATTTTTGGTATAATATATGTAAAACTTACCAATTCAAAAATAGAACAGTGACTATATTTTTACTGTCGTACATTATATCACCAATATGTATCTCTAGGACCTTCTTATTCTGACAAAATGAAGCCTGAAGCACTTAGCAACACTTATTCCACTTCCTATCAGAATTTGACAATGTGAGGTAGCATATAAGTGGAACCATTCAGCATGTCATCTGTGACTGACTCAGTTCAGTAGCATGTCTTAAACTGATCTGTGCTATCAAAGTATAAAATCTGCTTCCTTTTCCAACTGAAAAATGCCCCATGGCTTGTACACACTACATATTGTTTACCTATTCATCCATTAACAAACATTTCTTAACTTATTAAGAAACATTTACCTGTGTTCCTTCTCCCAGTTTGGTTATGATAGATTGCCTCAGTTGTAAAAACAGAATTCCTCTGAGATTACAGCTGGCTCTGTTCAACAGTCATTGGTCAGTCCAGATGGGAATGTTTGCTAAGACAACATGTGTCCCATGACAGTGTGTCCTGCCTAAGGGAAACAATTCCAGAAAGGAAAGACCACAGAGCTGCATCAAGTTCCTCATTCCAAAGCCCTGAACCTATAAAGATTCCCAGCCAGATTTTTCCTTCTGCAGATTTTTCCTTCTCATGGGAGAGAGGTTGCCCTTTGCTCTGTATGCCAATAATTGCAAACATGTGTTAAGGTCAGACTCTGTTCCTGACCTTCATTCTCTTTCCTCTGTACTCCAAATGTAATATGGTACATACCAGAAGTGGAACTGAAGGATTACAAGTTAAGGCTGACTTGTAGAGTATTAAGCCATTTTCCACAGATGCTGAAGCATGTGTGTCCCACCAGGAATGCGCAGGGCTCCCATGGTAGCAACACCCGCTATTTGCTCTTTTTGAAATAGCCACACTAAAGGCCACTAAGTTTGGGTTCCAGTTTGCATTTCTCTAAGAATTAGTAATGTTGAGCACCTCTTCTTGTACCACTTGTGCATCTTCTCTGGAGAAATATCCACTCATTTAATTTGTAATCAAACGGTTTTGTTGTTGTTGACCTATGGGGGTATTGACACTTTAAATATCAAGTCTTGCCTAGTATAAGACTGAAAATATATTTCCCATTCAATGTATTATCTTTTCACAATGTAAAAAGTAGAAAAGTCCTTCATGGCACAAACACTTAATTTTCATGGAATCTAACTCTTCTATTTTTGATTTTATTAAAACCTTTGCTTTTGGTGTCATATGTAAGAATCCAATGATGCAAACCTTTTCCCTGATTTCTTTATATATTATTTCTATATTTAGCTCTTGAGCACATTTTTGCTGATTTTTACATTAAAACTAATATAAATTATGATTCCAACACATATTGGAAAACACTTCCTTGATCAAGCCTGAAAAGTGACATATCATGCAATTATTCATAAACTTCTTACAAGTCAAAGGACAATGAATAGGTCAAAGTAGACAAGAAGAAAAGGCGGGGGTAGAAATGCAAACAAAAACATACTTCATAGTTCTCTCAATGCTGCTATTGTCAGCTATATCACAGGTTGTCAACCCCAGCAATGAGTCACACAGAAAACAAGAAATGGACAATTGACAATGAAACCTTTTTCAGGGATTTTGAAATCTTGAGCATTAGGGAAACATAGTAGGCAATTCTGGTTTTTGTGGTTATCAAAATGTGCACAGTGTACTTCAAAGTATATCTCCTAAACCAGAATGTTTTATTTTTAGGTTGTTCCATACAAATGTGAATCCTACCACTATAGCTAACACTGAAAGAAAACTTGATTTTATGCTATGTTCTGTGTTAATGATCTGACAGGAATGTCACTCCCTCTAGTACTGTACACAAACTTTAGAATAGAACAGAAGAAAGTGACTTGTACTGTCACTCCAGCTTCCTTAATTTAAGGGGAAAGAACTTCTATGTGTAAGTACTAGGAACTAACTGACTGAAAGATAAACAATTCTGTTTACTCGTCAGCCCCACCTTCATCCCTCATTCTTTAATTTTTGTACAGTTCTTGGATGGAAAACAATAAAGCAGCCAATGATCTACAGGGAGTGTGGGTGCATAAACGTGGAATCTTTCATAGTGTGTTAATGGTGGCATACTGTCACACACCAGATCTTACGTCAGCATCGTTGTTACAGCCTGTTTCTTTAAATTTTATTTTAGTTATGTGCATGTGAGGAGAGGTGTACTTGAGTGCAGGAGCCTGCAGAGACCAAAGACACCAGATCCCCCATGGAGCTAGAGTTACAGGGAGTTATGAGCCACAAGATATGGGTGCTGGGAACAAAACTCCAAAAGTGCTCTGAACTGCTGAACCGCCGGTGCACAGGCCCTATAACCTGCTGCTTTACAGTGTGCCCCCAGCTATGGTCTTGATCTTCTTTTCTAGAAGCCAGACCCCCCCCCCTTGGCAAGTGTTTGCAATCAGTTTACACAACTACCATGACTTACTCCTTTAATCTCCTGCTTTTTAAATGTTCATTGCTTCCTGTCTTAATTTTTAATTCTTATTTTCATTGTTTAGTGTCCTTATTTGCTGAAAGAAGATGTACTTCTCAAAGACATCAGTATTTACAGATGTGTAAACAGTGCTTGACAAAATTAGTTGCTTAACATTTATAAAACAAATGCACACACCACTTCTCTTTTTACTGTCTTCAATGAAACCTTTCGTGTGACTGCCTGTTAACCTCTCTTTAAAAAGTTTTAAGACTTTAACGTTAAAACTTTCTTAAAGCTCAGTAGGAGAGCAGCTGCCTAACATGAGCCTCAAAGAGGCACTGAATCCCCATCACCACCAAAAGCAAAGCAAATAAAAACCCTGTTGCCATTAAAGCCAGGTGTGGTGGTTTCAACAGTCGTCCCAGCTGCTCAATGGAATTCAAGACCAACATAGGCAAGACAGTGAGGTATTGTCTCAAAAAGATTAAGTGAAAAATGTCTCACGCATGTATTAAAAATGTACATGAATATACATACGTTGAATGCTATGGAGGCTGGAGAGATGGCTCAGCAGTTAATGGCAGTTGTTGATCTTGCAGAGGACCCAGGTTTGGATCCCAGCATCCATGTCAGGTGGCTCACAAAGCTCTTCTGGTTTCACTCTTCTAGCCTCTGAAGGTACCTGCACACATGTGGTATATACACATCTTTATACTGTGTCACACACATATACATATAAAAATAAATAATTCTTTAAATATTATGAAACTAAAATAATCTGTAAATATGTGTTAATTCTGGGTGGCGGGTCTTTATATCATTTTTGGTTTAGTCTTCATACTTATTTCTAAAATCTATTAATTTATGGTGGTGTCTGCCTTTAATCCCAGCACTCAGGAGACACAGGTAAGTTGATCTCTATGAGTTCAAAGCCACCCTGGCCTACATAGGGAATTTCAAGGTAGCCAGGGCTATATCATAGATCTTGTCTCAAAAAAAAAAAAATCAAGATGATGATGATGGTTGCAATATATGATTGCTGGTGGGTTTACCATGTTCCATGAAGGCCCTGTACCCATGTACATGCAAGCAGCACTAACTGTACTCAGTGGAGTTTACAAAAAGAAAGGACATGAAGGTGGAAGAAGGACCTGTTGGGGGAGTTCTATAGGGAACTGAAGGGAGACTTAGGTCAAATATAATCAAGATTGTACACATGCATGAAACTGTCAATGAATAGATAAAAATATTTTAAACATTTTTAAAAACAAAGAAAAAGGCAGATCTTGGGCAGAAAATCAAATTTTTTTTTTCAATATAAGCGCTCAATTACACACAAAATATTCTTTTTTGAAAGATTATTTTTATATGTATGTGTGAGTGCTTGTATATATGTATGTGTACCATACACATGCTGTTGTTGTCCATCAAGGTCAGAAGTGGATATAAGATCTCCTGAAACTGGAGTTACAGGCTATGAGAGGATTAAATGAGATATGACCCCCACAATCTTGGGCATTTTAGCCCACTTGGTGGAACTGTTTGGCAAGGTTTAGGCGGTGCAGCCTTGTTAGTGACTGCATGCAGGCTTTCAGATTAAACGCCTTGTGTCACTTTATGTTTGCTGTTGAAGAGATGAGCTCTCAGGTTCCTGTTCCTGCTGCCTGACAATGCAGCTATGCATTGCTGCCATACTGGATTCTTATCCCTCTGGAATCAAAAGTCTACAGAAACACTCCCTTCTCTAAGTTGCTTCTGAGCATGGGTTTTGTCACAGCAACGGGAAAGTAACTAATACACCGGCAGTTGTAATCTCTTACACAGGTGAGCCACTATCCCAGCTCTACTCCCAAAATATTCTATCCCACACAGTAGTTCTAACAGAGTATGATTGCTATAAAGTTCAAAAGCAGCAGAGATGTTCATCAGTAGACAATACATCTCAAACAACTACAGTCCATAGCTCTGTTAACTGTGACTCTGTGATTGCTAGCATCCAATTCCAACTGGCAAATGGCTCAGCACTATCCTCACACCCAAAGGCAAACCAAATCAAAAAACAAAACAAACCTCAATTTTTTAAGTATCCTATGACTATTCCAGATACCAATACCAATTTTGTACCAGGAGGGAGTTCTATCAGGAGACATGAACCATACAATACACTAAATTATGGTATGATGGTAAGTATAAAGATACATATTACAGAGGCAGGAGAGTGAGAAACCAATGGGGCTTAAGAAAACTGCTAAAAATAATGGACAAGTTTGTCAACTTCATTATTGTTGTTTCACAGCTATGTAAATGTCAATACTTATCAGAGTTTATACTCAATATCTGCAAGTTTTTTCAATTAACCAGTCAAAAATCTGCTTTTAATATTTCATGAAAAAGATTACCAGAAATGGCCCTTAATTCCAGGAATCAGGAGGCAGAGGCAAGAGGATCTCTGTGAGTTCAAGGCCATCCTGATCTAAACAACAAGTACCAGGCCAGCCAGAGATACCTGTGAGACCCTGTCTCAATAGACAGACAGAAAGATAGATAGATAAGATAGATAGATGATAGATAAACTATGATAGGAGATTAAGATTGTGGCTTCCAAACAGATAAACATAAAAGAGGGATCCTTTTTCCACAGCTGGGATGCAGTCCTCCGTTGAGTAGGGTGGAAGAAAAATCAGGCAACAGATAATTTCACTAGGTTGTCCAGATAGAGCTGATCCAATATTGCCAAGAAAGCAGGACACAACCAGAGTCTCTGCCATAGGCAAGGAAATTCTGGTGTACAGATACCATCAGGGAATTGCTGAAGAACACAGCTTGGAATGTGCAGCATTTGTGAGAACTGATTAAAGAATCTCTTCCCGGGCCTACAAAGACCTTGTAGAGAGCTAAGGGTCCTGCTCTCCAAGGCATGCATGAGGGCTCTAACACTAGAGGATGTCATCTGTTACTACACCCACCTGCCTGCTGCTTTCACGAACTGCTGTCACAATTGAGGGATGCAAAAGCTACCAAATACCAGCATATGACTTCTTTTTGC